CGAGTCTCAAACTTGTACACCTTGTTGGAGAGGATCTCAATGTCAACTTGCTCGATTGACTCTTGACCAGTTTGATCTCCGGTCTCCGGGTTGATGTTCTCTTGCTCATTGATTTATTCTTTAGGAATGGGAGAAATGTCAATTCTACAGGTGACCATCCTTCTTGATCAAGGAAGAATCAGAGATTCTAATGTAAGTAGTGTGGTAAGGCTATGTACGGGGGTCTCCTTGAAGGATGAAGGAAAGCTAAGGGCAAAGGGTAGACTAAAGGCTCTGATTGACAGAATGTTGTTCTCATTATGGATTAAACCTCTATTTATAGGGTGAGATCCTAAGGTCCCGAAAAGAAGGAGCCAAAAGTGTTTGACTCTCACTAGGAAAGGGAATCTTTGATTCGGTGTTAGTTGTCAGGGGGGCACCGCTAGGGTTTCACCACGTGTTTTATGAGATATCTCAAGGACGAGGTTTCCTTTCATCTGAGAATTCTCATAATACATGCAGGCTATTTCCTTTTGCAAGTCTCCTAGACTAACGTGGAATGAATGATGTTAATACTAATCTCACGTGTCTTTTCTATTCTTATTGAGCATTCTGTCACACGTGGCGTTGGTAAATCATGTGTTTCTTTATTCAGCTTTGACCTGCAATGGACCTGAGCTCATTGCAGGTTTGCAATGGATCTGAGCTCATCATAGGTTTACAATGGCTCTGAGCTCATCGCAGGTTTGCAATGGCTCTGAGCTTATCGCAGACTCGCAATGGCTCTGAGTTCATCACAGGTTCGCGATGGCCTTGTGGTCATTGTAGATCTCTGGCGACTTCGGATTCCTTTTTGGTGCCTTAGCTTTGGGTCTTTTGCATGTTCATGGTGGCCCTAAGCTCATCGCAAGTCTGTGTGGACTTAGAGCTCATCGTAGATTTGTGCCAAGTCTGGAACTCGTCACAGGTATCTTTGTGGTATAAGTTTAGCACCTTCTATGCTATTACGATTATGGTGATTAATATATACCTACAAAAATTATATTTTTGCCTAAATAATTAGAGATGGACAAAATTCAAATATATATGTAGTGTTTTCGAACCAGCGTTGACCTGGACGGTCGAACTGTTCAGCCTGGGAACCGTCTAGGCAATCGGTTCTGTTTTACCCCAAACCTATGAAGGGATGAGAGATCCATCCTATGGACGCCCAAAAGATTGCGGAATAAGGGGCGAATTTCAAAAATTTTTCTCTCCCTTCAACTGGGAAT